CTCACACACTCTGTCTCTCTCTCTCTCTCTTCCCCCAACTGTCTGTGCCCGTCGTGATGGCTGAACCAAAAAAAGCCACAGGCGCGGTCGAGGTCGGGCGCAGGTGGCGTACACGACACAGACCGCACCCCAGTGTGCAACAACGCTCCTTGGTTCACAACAAACACCTAGTCAGGGTTTTAATACCACAGCAAAAGAGGATGCAAGTGGCGACATGGATCCCAACTTACACAGTTTGGGCCTGTGTGCAACACAATGCGCCTATACTCTACGCGGTAACACGTGAGCATCAAAAAACGCTGGCTCATTATGCAAAATACGCCTGGTTAATTTAGGCTTTTATTCCTTGCATTCTGCACCTGGGAACTCACCTGACTCTCTTTTCTCTACCATCCTACTCTGTTTTGCGCAAGCTTATGCTTTCCACTTGAATATACTCACCCTTCCTCCACAACCCCCCCCTCACAGGAAGGAATTCTCCGCTCAAAATCTGCGCCTGGCGCTGGATTATTTCCTGCGGTTAGGCCACAAAGATATATGCATTGTTCTGCGTGCCAGCCGACAGCGTGCTCTGGAGGCTGTTTTCTCGGAAGCCGAATTAAAGAAGTATTTCTCTTTCACCTCCGTCCGACGTTTGGACGGTGATCGGCCAATGGTGGAAGACGATGACAGGTTAGTTGTTGTTTTTTCTAGTACCCTCCCGTCTTTTTTTCCCTATATATATTCTCAGTCTTTTCATATATTTCATCCTCATCATGCCTTCCTGTCCTTTCATTCTTTCCCCTTGCTTCCTCATTATTTTTACATGGTGGTCGTTATTTTCCCGCTTCCAAATTCGGAAATTCTTGCGCCTTTTATTGGAACGGCTGCTATTTCTTCGGCGTTTCGTCCCCAGCCAACGTCATGGTCGAAATTCATCTCGGATAACCACTCGGTTCACATACTGAACTGCCTACAGATCCTTCCCCGTTGAACGCATCGCTATTTCGGATAATAGTTATGACTTGTGTGTGGGTTAGATAATAACGAGGTCTCGGGCATCTCTGAGTTCACACACACACACACACTCTCTCTGGTACTGCCTTTACGATTTCTTAGCGACAAGACTTGATCGCGGAGGCGGACTTGATATGAAGAAGAAGAAGAAGAGAATCTTGCTTTACCTACGATTAAACATCATAAATTTTCAGCGAAAAAATGGCTCCATTCACGGAGAACAAAGAATAGGTTAAGTAATGGGTCATGTTAAAAGGTAAAAGGTCATGTAATACTCACAATTCAAGTGTTACACGATATCCACGTCTACTATGGAGGCTGATCA